TATGTAAGATATGGGGCTATCGTTGGTGCTCTTACAAAACAGCCATGCATTCATGAAAACTTGTGCTCATCAGTTTCCAAATTTGAACACAATGCCTCTTTTATTCTCGATAGAGATGAATTGAAATCTCTGCATCATTCTGGTATTCCTAGCCAATCTTTTGTTTATTATTATCATTATTATTAACTATGACAATACATAACTCCGATTTGTTTTGTTTTTATTTTACACTTTTGCTCGAATTTTTACACAAGTGTTCTCTAATGTCCTCTATAATTGGTACATCAGATTCCATTTATAATTATTTACTCCTTTATAATTACAGATAGGTGAGATCATGTCCCTCTTTACCATATTACCTATTCAGTCATCAACATCTTCTACCCCTTCACCACTAACGGATATGGAATATTACATTTCTTACTAAGTATGATTCATTTAAGATTTGTTTTTTAATTCATTTAAGATTTTATGAAGTTTTTAGTTACTACATTAGGGATTATACCAATTGCAAATGTAGCCCATGAATAAGTATACCACAAGCAAGCAAACATTGTGTTTTATCCTGGCTAATAGTATAGTCATTTATTGTTGTTATTTTTATCCCATAAATGACTGATTTCACTTCGTTTATCACGTACTTGAGGCTATTTTATATGGTGATTCAGCTATGTTTAAAGAGCATCCGCAACTAACAGATGCTTTAGTTCGAGTCTTCTTTCAAATACTTCAGCAAAGTACTAAAATTGTGTATTATATTACAAATGCAAATGTAAGTACTAAAGTTGTCTACTGATTGTTATTGTAGTGCAAACCAAGCCACATAGAAGTGCTTCAGAAAGGAATGGAATGCCTAACAAGTGTTAGGAGATCATGTTTTGACTTTGTACAATAAAAAAGTAACTACAATATATATATATATATATATATATATATATATATATATATATATATATATATATATATATATATATATATATATATATATATATATATATATATATATATATATATATATATATATATATATATATATATATATATATATATATATATATATATAGGGGAAAGATCAAGTACAAAGTGTGCTTATTGTGCAAATCTTTGTACGATGCACCTTGACGTTATTTGCATTGCATATTGAGGTTCAAAGTATTGCATATTATAAAGTCATAAAAATAACAGTTGCACATTAAGGTGCAACGAGTTGCACCCTAAAAAGTTGGGTTTTATTACAAAAATGCCACCTTGCCTTTATGTCCTTTGGATCAACTCATCGGACGGTCAAGATGAGTTTGTACTTTGTAAATTAAGAAGGCTTTGTATTTGATCTCTATTCTATATATATATATATATATATATATATATATATATATATATCTATATATATATAGATATATATATATATCTATATAAAACCCAACTTTTTTAGGGTGCAACTCATTGAACCTTAATGTGCAACTGTTATTTTATGAGTATATAATATGCAACACTTTGAACCTCAATATGCAATGCAAATAACGTCAAGGTGCATCGTACAAACATTTGCACAATAAGCACACTTTGTACTTGATATATTATAAATAACATTGGGCACGAGTATATTCGCGCAACGCGCGATACAAAAACTAGTTACAACTAATAATTGTCATATTTTAGCAGTATCAAATTTCAAATATGATAGTATATTTCAAATTTGGAAATAATTACTCTTATTTAGGAAATAAAGAGTCCGTTTGGTGATCGTGTTTTTTGGCTTATCAGACATTTTTTTATCAAACACGTAATTTTTGATTTCGCACTTTGAATTGTATAATAATAAGAAAAAGTAAGGCTGAAGTTACTTTTTTTGCAATATTGGCTGAAGTTGTTGTAGATGATCTTTTTTAGATATTTTTCATGTAATTTTTTATTTATTCTATTAATACAATATATTCTAAATATTTTTTTCATAAATCAACTGAATCAGCAAATACTGCCACTTCAGCTAGAACCTAATAAATTTCAGCAGAATCAGTCGATAAATCCAATTTTAGTACTACCAAACGGCCTCAAAAAAGCGGCAATCTTATTTTCTAATTATCAAACATTTTTGTTTTTCCCTTCTATTATGAAATAAAAAAAAAAGCACAATTAGAAGTTATCAAATGTTTTTGTTTTTATTTTTACTTTTTAGGACAAAATAAATAAAATGATTTCAAATAAAGAAGGTTATTTGTAGGGGTGATCAAAACTTTATTTTTTGTGTATTTGTTTTGACCTAAAAACTCAAGAAATGAATTTTCAATTTTTCTTAAACTTTATATATGCATCATTGGTGTCATATAAAAGACAATCATTGAAAAACTATGAATTTATATATTTTTTGTAAAATTAAGTATAAATAAAAAAAAATTATAAACCTTAAAAAAAGGATGACATCAGCATGACGTCACCCATCCATCCTTCTTTTCCCCTCCTATTCTCTTCCACAACCTTCCTTTCATTTTCGGCTGACTATAAAAACCGAATCAAACCGGAATTTGAGTGTGAATTGATTTCGGTTACCGAGAGTAACCTGATTGATACTTATACTGAGAACTGATCAGTGCATAGGCCTATTAATGGGTGGGGTCTAGACCCGGACCCGATCCGAATCCGGCACTTTATTTTAGGGTTTGGGTCTAATTTTAGAACCGTTTTCTGGATCCGTATCCAAACCCGTTACATGATAGAGAAAATGAGTCGAATATGGATTTTTAAGTTCCGGCCCGTTTTGGACCCGACCCGTGATGATATAATTATAGTTATAATTTTTTTACATACACACACACACACAATATACATAGAAACATTTAAGGGAAAAGGGGCAAATCCCCCCTAAGGTTACCACCAAAGGGCATCTAAGCCCCTAAACTATACTTTGGAGCAAAAAACTCCATTTTCCATTAAAAAGTAGGCATCTGCCCCCCTCCGCTAACGGTGGACATACGGAGTACTTAATAGGGGTTGAGAACATGTGGTAAATGCAAATACACCCAGATTATTCTCTAGCTGAATCACATCCGCAAATCTATATTTTTTTGTGAGCAAATGTCTTAGATAAAAATGTGACAAATTAACTAACTAAATGTTGAATTATAGAGTTAACATTTTTTAATTGGATTGAAATTTTTGATCTGATGTAATTTGGTCAAATCAATTTTTGCCTGATCTTGTCTAATCTGTTTTAAGTGTTTTCACTTAAACCTATTTCAGTTTTAGACAAGATCAGACCTGAACAAACCTGACTACACATAAATAGACTAGACCTCGAAATATTATAAAATACCCAGAAACCATAAATCTACCGAATGAGAGCAAACCAGAGCAATTCAGACCGGGCCAAATCAGATTAGACCACATCATAAAATTTCAATCGAAGAAATTTTTTTGTTTATTTTGATGTCTGGTAATTTGTTTGGAAGCGGTCAGACTAGTCTAATCAATAACAATTGTGAATCTCTCATATGTTAAGCGGCTAGTCTCGTTCAATATCGGTGATGTATTATGTGTTTCTGATTAGAGAGTGAAGGGACATGTGAACTATACAAAGAGAGAGGATATTTGATTAATTGTATAGATTAGAATGTTTATTTATATGAATTTAATGCTTCATATAAGCTTTTTTCTTAAAAAATTACATATCGACTCCCTTCGGTGTGCTATCTTCGTCACTCTCTGGTATCATCCTTTCCTTTAAAAACGGCCCCTACTCCCTTGGCTCGCAGGCTAACCGGGGAGCTTGCTAGTATCTGCTTGGCTTCAATCTATGCTTACTGAGTTGGACTTGGGGTACACACTTTTTGCTTACAGACAATATGTATTATCTGCACAGACAAAAAAAACCTTCACAAACACGTGTAAAAGTGTATACACAAAAAATTGTGCACCTTTAGAATTTTTCATGCTTACTTTCCCCAACCACTCAAGCAGAGGCGGAGTGCTCAGGTCCACCATCAATTTTTTTTATTGTTTTAAACTAGTGTATGTGTATAAAAATTACACTCACCCTCAAATTTCCAAAAAAAAAACTAGTGATATACTATTGAAGCACAGATACTTCACTAGGGTGCCGTATTGGCGTGTCGGAAACATCCCCGTATCCGATCCTCTAGGATACCCGTACTGTACGTTCCCGGGCCATATCTGCAATTTCTAAGAGTTTCAATTTTTTCGGTAATTATTTTAAAATTTTGGATACTCGTATACTCATGGATACCTGCATCAATTCTGAAGAAAATCTTCCCAACTTTGTTTTTTAAAAAACACTCAAAATTTACATAATAAAATTCTTAAAAAATGAAGAGCTAAAAATATTTTTTACCTTGCTTTTATGCCAATTAGTTGTGTACCACATGCATAAAAGCAAGGTTTTTTACCTTGCTTTTATGCATGTGGTACACAACTAATGGGCATATTCCTAGTTCACCCATCCTCCTATCCCTAATTCTAATTATCCCTGAAAATTAATAGCTCCAGCGGATATATGTATTAGAACTTTTAAAATGTTATTTTCTATCTTCATTATTCTAGAATTTTGAGTACTTGAACTTTTAATTTCAAAACTGTAGTTGTTTGACTTGTTTCTCATTTTAAATTAATGACTTATTAACTATATTTATATTTCGATGTGCACCAGTGCATATGAGATAAAATATGACTTATTTCTTAGTATCTTGAAAATGTAAAATGCTTCAATGCCATGAATGAGTAGACGTCAGAGTATAATATATGTGTATTCTTTAAAAAATGTATTTTTAATATTTATAAATACACCTTCTGTATCTTTTAATATTTATAAATCCACCTCCATAACTTTTAATATTTATAAATTTGGTCCCACATATGTACCCTACTTTTTTTAGTTTTGTCGTATCCCCGATCCCGTTTCCACGTTTTCACGTACCCGTATCGGTACTACATAGATGATATACAAAAGTCGAGGTCCATTGCTCCATACGTGGTCTTGTTCATGGGCACTCTCCCATCTTTCCAGCCAAGCCCATATTATACCGGCCCAAACTATCAAAATCCCAAATCCAACTCGAAGATTGCAGCGCGGGGGAAGAGGCAGCCCCGCAGCAGACTAGCAGTCCGCAGCGTTCCGTTTCGGCACAACCCCAATCCCAACCTAAGTTCAGCACTCGGACGGCGCACGGCGGATCAGGTGCTCAGCACTTGGACGGCGCACGGCGGTTTTTCGGTATAGACTGCTTTACTGCTTAGTTTCTGGCTTTCTGCAATTCTGTTCTTCAGTGGTAAACTGGGACTCTAGCTGTGTCCTGCGGAACTACCTAACGGGTAAGTTACTAAGTTAATTAAGTTTTTTAATTTTAATTACAGCCTTGTTTAGACTTTAGTATTACAGCCTTGTTTAACTTCAAGTTCTAGTTTTATTGTGCTTTTAATTCAATTTAAAGACTAAATTAAAACCTTGTTTAGTATAAATTTGATTGTTCTTTATAAAATTGTAATCACCATTTATAGTAGTATGAATTTACTAGTGATTTGTAATTATTAGTCTAATTATTATTAAGAATTAGTATTAGTGTAATAAACTAATCTTATTTTCAATAAAGGTAATGAAGAATGACACTGATGTCATTATCAAACAATATCAATGGATGAAAACCCGTAGAGAACAATTGTAAAATTGTGGTGCTTTTGTATTTGTTTAATGAAAACTCTTATTTGTATTATGTTTGTTTTTGTCTTTAATCTTGTTGTTACAATAGATGTTTTTTTTCAATATACGTTATTTAATTAAGGCCGCCGGGATTTCAAGCGGTGTATTTTCTGAACAAATATACGGAGTAACATTTTGTACTTATTGGATTTTATTTCAAAAATTTTAAAATCATTCATATAAGATGTGTGGGTATCGTTCAGACTTATTTAGGGTCATTGGTTTGAAGTGTTTTGTGCTTTTGTGCTTTTATGGCTCAGGAACATGGCTCAGACACATTCACACAGAACGGGCCTTTTTGTTTTACACTTTTACACATTCATATTTAGCGGGAATTATCTTTTGCTAGGGTAAGGTGTATTTTTCAAATTTTGGTGACATTTAACATTTTCTTTTGCTAGGATAAGGTGTTTTAATTCCTATATAAAGATTTTTTTTGGCTTTTATATATTAGTAGATAGATACTTTGACCCATCCTAGTTTTTCACAATAGCAAACATTGTAAACAAAGAATTGTAATGGGTTTACTAGAAGACCCTCTAAATCCAGCTAACATTTTTTCTTAACATAGTTTGTTTTGAGCAGTATAATTTGTTCGTGTTGTAAAGTTTAGTATGCTTATTATACGTGCTTTTTTGATAATTAGATATATGGATCAGTTTATACCAGAAATGCGCCTCTTAATATAAGTGCGAAGTAGGGGTTGTTGAGGCAGTATATATGGATAAATTACAATAAACTCAATTTGTATGGAATCTTTTCAACAAGCCAGAAGCTATACTACTGTATTACTCGTCTTCAAGTTAGGTTAATAAGCTAATATCAAGCTTGCATGCCCATCTATATACAAGCACAAAGACCAATATTTATCTTGTCTTAAAGCAATACATCTTTGTTTGCTTGTTGGTAGTTAGATTCTTTTCAATTGTTCTTAACATTTAATTAATGATAGATAACTTTAGAAGTCCTGCAGGTTTATTTTTTTAATTAGAGAGTAAAGCTTCAGTATGGGAAAAGCCAGGCCACGGTATGCAGATTAATTTTATTGTTCATTTGTTCATAATCCATTTTTATCATTTATGCCAATTGCTATCAATTATAGTTGTTTTATTCATTTGCCTCAGTGAAGATGGGTCCACACGAGCTGACCGCAAATTCGAGAAGAAAGTGCAGTTTTATACCAGTAAGTGGACATAGTTACAATTGTATTATTTAAACTGTAAATACTACATATTTAAGTGGCAATCTTTGATTTAGGTGTAAACTTTTTATTATTACATATCACAGTATGCTTTAATTTTAAATTTTTATTGATCTAAAAAAAGTGATAATTTTCTTTGACTAACATTCTGATTCCTTTTCCATTTGATTATGTCGTTTTCATGATTGTGTTTAGTGTTTCATGATGAAATTAATCTGTTATTCATTAGGGTGGCGTGATGATGCATATTCACCTAGTCCTGTATCATTGGATGATTATTTAAGAACATGCAATACCATCATGTGATCTTAAAACAAGAAAAAAGGTCCTTCCATTTTAGTTTTTTACATCTCTAATGATTTTCTCAAAATTTCCAATCAATATATAAGTAAATTTTCTCTAATGGAGTAATGCAAATGTTATTATGCGGTAAATTCCAAACTCAATCTCACTTGTGAGGTGATTAAACATAAAAAAAATTAAAAGTCTCACTCTTACTGTATGCCATGCCATCTTAGGGAACATCATTTGTCAATTTCGAGCCCAGTTGATATGTCTTAGTGGCCGAAGTGGGGCCGATTCTTCTCGACTTGTTGACTTTTTTGCCAAAATGGGCCAATGTGCTAAATTAGCTATAAAAAGTAATTGAATATTACAGTGTTTTTTTATGGATTCTTTTTCAAAATGAATGTAATTGTCAAGCCATTCCCTTCTTTCAAAATTTCCCTTCTTATTGAAGAGTATTGAATTTTTTTGTCAAATTAATTTAATTGTAGTCCATAATCTTTATTTGTGTGATGGTTCTTAAATGGATGTAGAGGTTAAGGAAACGGTTGCTTCCTTGAGTGCACAGAAGTCCATCACTAAGGTATGTATATTCACTCATCCCCTTTCTTTTTATTGTTGTCCCCATAAAGTGTGTAAATGTGTAACCGTTGAAGGTTGACCTACATTTGCTTGATTTTCAAAATCTTTTACTTTACAAATCAATGCACATTTCGACATACATACAAAAACTAGAAAGCACTGTGGGCTAATGTGGTGGCATGAATTTTGTTTTTTAAGATGACGTTTCTTGTTATTTACCAGAAGTCAAAGGCCCAAAGGAAGAAAAAGAAATTGCAGGCATATGATCTGTCTTCTCTTTCAGAGTTCCTCCCTGATTTGGAGGCTCCTAAGCAACCACCAAAACGAACAGAACTTAAGTTAAACTGTAAAAACAGGCAAAAGCTAGTGGTGAAGGAAGGCAATCAATTGCAGGCTGTTATTAAACATCCTGCTTTCCAATCAAATCCAATGCAAGCAATTTTTCAACATTTGCAGAGCATGCTTCCTCCAGAAGATAAGAAACCGAAGCAGGGTATAATAAAGAAGAGAAGCAGTAATGGGAAAAAGAAAAAAACTAAGCCTCAGTTAATGGAAACATGATTATCTTAGCCTCTGGAATTTTATTATCTTCTGATTTGGAGTCGATAATCCTGAAGTTCAAGCGTACGGATCTAGACATATTTCTCAATTATGCAACCCTTGAAGATTAAAATATATATACAGGTGATTATTTGTTTGCTTACGTAACCACGTAGCATAATTGTATTGGTCATTCTGATTTGGGTTCTCAATGATATTCAGGAGACTAAACTAAATACACTGGTACTCATTATGCAGTTTTTGGCACGAACAATGAAAAATTGGCAGTCTAATTTGGCACGGTGAAGGATGTATTTATTTTATTCCCCTTGTTCTATTTATGTTTGTCCTATTTTTTTTTTTACTTTGGTTTGTCTCCAAATATTTGTCTAAACTCTGTATTCATACTTGTGTGGTTCAAACTTCAAAATCGTTGTGTTTTTGAAATCGATATTTACGTAATTTACCCTACAATTTTGTTACGGAGTATTATTTAGTTCTCTGTTACTTCTCATATCTCAAAACATACATGGACGGAGTATCACTTTTTAGATATAAACTTTTAATTGTAAAAGCGCGAGTGTTTTTATTTCGGGTTATTTTTAGGGTTGTAAACGAATCGAATCGAGTCAAATAGTGAGATTTTGTATTTGTATTTGTTTAATTTTTTCGAATACAAATTCGAATTCAAATATGAAACAAATATTAATTTTGATTTGTATTGGTATTTGTTTAACAATATGGATAGTTAACGAATCATATACGAATATTGAATCGATTTGAGCATAAGTTAAATATTAGTCATATATCAATTTAAAATAATTTTTCTTATATTTTTTATGTTGTAAATGCATGCAATGACTTAATATGTGCTTTTAGAATTTAAGTTTAATTGATCAATGCATTTTTAGATTGTGCACAATATACTAAAGTGAATCAATTTTAAGATTAATAACTATAAATCTCTTTCGAACTTTTTGAAATAAACACCAACACACAAATATTAGAAATTATACTTATAATGTGTAAAATAAGTTGATACTTGTATATATCAAAGTCAAACGACTCTAATGTTATTCTTTCAATTGAATACATAATTATGTGTATTGTATTTGAAAGACATTTGAACCAAAAATATAATTTGCATTCGTATTTATATTCCGATTTACTACAAATGAGTTTGGAATTTGTATGTATAAATGTATATATGACTACACTTTGAGGGTATTGCCATCTTTTAAAAGTTATTATAGTGTTATTACTATTATTATTAATATTATTATTTTTAATTCGAATATATTTGATTAATATCTGAATCGAATATACTGATATTCATATTTGTATTTGATAACAACTCGAATCAAATTTAATATTCTTATTGAATTTGAATCGTTTTATACGAATTTGAATCGCGAATCGAGCACAAATTATTTGATTTATTTACAACTCTAAAGAAGATTGGAAAAAGTTTTTTAGTCTGAAAAAGTAGGTTTTGAACTCAAAAGATACTGATGTTCCTACTGATTTTGAACAATGCAGGTCGTTCTGTTGTACGCAGCATTAAAATACTAGCGTTTTATTAGTCCCAAGGTGAAGGAGCCTTTGTTACAGAATAGATACTACGTATAATATAATGTCATTAACCTAACTTTAGTATACCAAAATGGAGCCTTTGATATAGCCATATACTCATGTGGAGCAGATCAGCAAATGAATTTCAATAAACATAAGTAGAAATTGCATAAACTTAAGTGAATCCAGTTATCCAAGTGCTGTGTATAAATATGTTTTTTATAAAATTAATTATTATGTTAATCAAGATAAATGTTTAAAATATATTTAAAGTAAGATAACTTAGATAAATAAAATAGAACTACAAAAGTAAAAGTTAAACGTGGTAAATTCTAAATATGATAGAACGCATGTTCATTCCCAAACAAACTGACTAAAAATATTACATACTTATAAAATATTTAAATGAATGTATTTGGTATTTATTTAGTTATTGTGTTTTAAAAAATTACTCTACACGAGAATAAAACGTTTTGGAATTCCAAAAATAGGAGCTAAGCAATATTCATTTATTATTGAGGTTTTTCGTAAATATTATTGAAGTATAACTGGTGTGTTGAAACATTACTAGTCACAATGCATGCATAGTTGAACACAATCATGAATGATAAATTTACTATGATAATCACTATAGTAGGTTGTTCATTAACTTTATTTCATATTTATTATTACTTCTTTATTATTACCTAAGTAGGAATACTATTGTCATGTGTTGAAAATACTGTCAATTATGACATTAAATTTTCTGGATGACAATAACCTACTATTTAAAGAAAAAATTAGAACCTTTAGTTTGAAGTTTTACATTAGTTTCACTCATATTTTGAAAATTTTCTTTATGTTTTATTATGATACAAAAGACAACCTAAAATGCAATAGAGATTGCAAACCATAATGATGCTAGATAGGTTGATGAGTCGCCACCATTCATACAACGGCACAATCAAAGTAGAAAAGGGTGCTTTTTTATACATCAAAAGGGATGACGGCTGTTTTATGCAAGACCATCTTCACACGAATTTACAGATCCAATCATGAATCCTATGAGTAGACGACTTAGAGTCAGACATCTCATCCAAAGCAGCATAACTCGTTAAATCTGAAACGAGCAAATTTAGGCCTAAAATGACCGGAACCAAAATTCTCCTATCAAATGTACTCCAAAAATTCAAACATTCAAACCAAATCTACTCGGATTAAAACAGAAACAATTGCTACTAAAGAAAAATAATAATGAAATAAAATCTTTTCACAAAGTTCTTCCTGGTATGGAGATGGTTTCGGAGGACGAAGTCTTGCAATATGGATGAATGAATACCTACTCCATCACCGTCGGAATGGCCGACCAAGGCTTCATGATTCAGCCTCGATACAACCTTTCAACCGCACCTCGTTCATCCGCCAATGCAATCCCAACCTGGCGTTATAACACTTAAAATCAGTATAATTTGTCACTACAACTCCATATTGATCGATATGCGTGATGGAAAATTTCAACCCTTATAAATAGGGGATACGACCGCTAGGTTCCTCTCTCTAGAGAATAAAGACGTTGTTTTATGCTAGTTTAAAATGAAGCACAATAAAAGCACAAGAGGAACCGTGAACAATATCACAAGATGTTGACAACGTATGTTGAATAATTGTGCCGAAAACATGAACTTAGAAGAGAAGAAAAGGCTTGTTGTCCAAGGAGAAGCAACGATTGAAATGGGGAAGCAACGATTGAATATTACGCGCATCATCAGTATCGAAATAATAGGGGAATCTTTGGTTTCTAGTCACAATATTGAACCCTAAGCTAGTTTTCCATCCCTGTCACATGAATATGACATCTAAAACAACACTCCCGTTTTTGCCAACTTTTATTTTTTATTTGTCTAAAAAACATTTGTGATTTTGTTCATTTTTCATTCGACCTGCCCAAATTTTGACTAGACATTTTTTACTTTTCTAATTTGACACTTAATATAAAGTCAAAAAAGTTGAGAGAGGTGACTTTTCTGATATGACACCTAAAACAATTATCACGACGGTCATAGACTAACTATGCATATCAGGTTAGACAGACAATATGACACATAAAACTTGATAAGATGTGATTAGAGTATAAAAATTTACAACATATAGCTTTGCGAGGAAGCGGTCCAGCCCAGCTGGTTGCCAACTCACTCTCTCTTACGGGAGGTCTCGAGTTCGAAACTCAATGGAGTGAGTTTCAGTCCTGATTACTTCAAGCCCCCATTCCCCCTCCCTCAGACGCCCCATAAAAAAAGATACTCCATCCGTTCTTTAATATTAGTCCTCCTAAGCTTTGGCATGAGTTTTAAGAGGAAAATAGTAGGGTAGTGTAAAAGGTGTAATGAGCATGCATCAGGAACCAAATGTTTTTATACTTTCGATATATATTTGAATGTGATAGATTTTGACCCCTTATATTGAAGTTATGGTGTGTCTCTTCTTAGAATTAGCATGCATCAGTGATATATGTTTTACCAGTGCTAAGTTGTTTGGGGTATTCTCTTATTTTATTACTCGTATATTTTAAAATTTTGTCCAATAGGTACTAAAATTTAGGAATGTAGATCATGTGCAATACGAGAGTGTTTGGCACGATTGATTAAAGTCGTCTTTTAGGAAGTGCAATGGCTGCTTGATATCGGGATCCACTTATATATGGGGTCTCCAAAAATGTACTAGTAGTATGTAGTAGTATTTATAAGTCGATTTTTGAATATTATGTATTATTACGTATTTCGGATTTCAAAAGGTCTATAACTTTTAGATTGCATAATTTGTGTATTTAAATATTATAAAACTTATATTTCATTGCATTATCTATTGTATTTGTATTTTATTGTTAAATTTTGTATAATTTCTTGTTTTAGGGGGACTCAAATCATCATTTGGAACATGGACCTCCTAATTCATTAGACGGCCTCGATGATAAGAAAGAGGAGCGGAAAAAATACTTACACATGGGTAAAACTCATGCCAATTCCTAAAATATAACCATTTCTTTCTCAATACATAACTAAATAAGTATGGGATGAAATGAGAAATTTCCTTGGTAGTACGATACATGCTATTTGGTATTCTTTTAAAGAAAAAAAGATATAATTCATATTTTGGGAATCTTGATTATTCGAGGGTAATTTTTTTCTTTTAAGTTGTCAACATTAAGTATTGAAAATATTGTCTAACATATTCTTCCTTAATTAGTTGGTCTTTAATTAAAATACTCCTATGGATTATGATTATTATGGCGGCGTTAAAAAACGCATTTATAAATAAATATATATAAATTTAAATTATAAAACAGTATTGAAATAATTTATTTTGAACAAAGGTGGATTTGATGAATAATTCCACTTCCACCCCACTTGCAATAGTTTTGAACTACGAAAACACACTTCCGTAACGGCTACAAACAGCAAATATTCGCCCAATCTCTAAAACGGCCGGGTGGATTTTCCGGTTATTGAGAATGTTTTTACTTGGACTGTAATTTGTTTGTCTGGTCTGGTCTGATCTGATCTGGTCTACTTTTGTTGTATTTTTATAGCTATTTAAATCTAATTTAATTTGGTCTGATCTGGTCTGAGACCAATTACATCCGAGTAAAAACATCCTCAGTCCTATACCACACGTGCCCCCATTTTAACCGACTTTCAATAACCGCCTAACTGGTCCCTCGATTAACCCTAACCAACCAACCCCCTCTATTTAAAATTACCTTTTCCACCGAAACAGAGATCTTTCTCGACATCCGATTTTATCGGGTCGCTGCTATGGATCGGGTCAAAGTTTCATGGACTAAGGAAGAAGATGAATTGCTGAAGAAGCTAGTGGCGGAGAACGGGGCCAGGAACTGGCCGCTGTTAAGCCAGTCGATTCCTGGGAGATCCGGGAAGTCGTGCCGTTTCCGGTGGCGTAACCACTTGTCCCCGGAGGTGGAGCACCGGCCGTTCACGGCGGAGGAGGACGCCGTTATAGTTCAAGCTCAGGCGGAGATTGGGAACAGATGGTCCGCTATCGCGAGATTGCTCAACGGGCGAACCGACAACGCCATAAAAAATCACTGGAACGCGTCACTGAAGAGGAAATTTGACAGCGAAGAAGGCGGGGGAGAGCGGTGTTTTAAGATTTTGAAGTCGACGGAAATTGTCGTGCCTGAATTTTTCAGCCGAAGCGACGACCGTCACTCGAGATCCGATATCAATTGTGTTCAGGCCGTGGAGCTTCTGGCTGGACCGGAGAAGCAGACGGATCCGTTGGCTGAACCGGAGAAGCAAACGGCGGATCCGTTGACCACGTTGACTCTCTCGTTTCCAGCACAAAGAGCGGACAATGCAGTTTCGTCATTCGAGCGACAAGTAAAGGTTTGCGGTAAAAGGAATGAGCCTTTGAATCCCGAAGTAGTGGAAGAAGCAAGGAGGAAGGGCCACGAATTAATTCCTTTGATGCAACAAATGATTAGAAACGAGGTAGAGAGATATTTATCATCTGGGCATATTATCAATGAACTTGTTGAGAATGCACAAGTGAAACGATCTGGGCATATTATCAATGAACTTGTTCAGAATGCACAAGTGAAACGTAGCGGCATTAGCAGATTAACGGAACGCTTCTAAGACAATTTTCAGTACTATTTACTTTTTTTAATTGCTATTCATTATGATTGATGTTCTTGGACTCTTTTTTGGTAAAATGTTCTTGGACTCTTTAGTAGTTGTTCCGTTGTTCATACGACTCAGTACTGAGTGAGATTATATACCTTTTCAACCGCACGCAGTTAGTTTTTTGTGTGTGTTTTAAACGCGTTTTTTGAACAAAATTAAAAATGCGCTTAAAACGAAAAATAATGTGGGTCCGTTTAAAAGGGAAAAAATGTCATACTTCCCATGCATATAACATATTTTTCCGTATTTTACAAAAATAACTGGTGGGCGTAGCTCAACTGGTAGCGAGGGAGTGCCACAAGGGTTAGGTCTCGGGTTCGAATCCCGGCAACTGCGATGAGGGGTTACTATGCTGAAAAATGCATAGGGCTTCTGCAAGTACCGGGGACAGAGACACACTATCTATCAGTCAGATTGTGATTATAGTCCAATTTACATCCTCCCATTGTGTCGTCCGGTCGGTGTTGGGGGGCCCTCAGGGATGGGGTGTCATCCTTTCCGTATTTTACAAAAATAGAAACATGACCTAATCATTTGAATGAATGCATTAATTTTTTTGAACGAAAACTAGCCTCTATTCATATCATATAAGTTTCAGGATCATTACGTAAACCCTATGGTCAGACTTAGAGACGATCACCCCAAAAAGAGCAACATGGATTGCTAACCATGTACCGGGCTTGACATAGCCATCCATGTCTCCAAAGATCCAAACATTCCCATTGACATGAACAAAGGCTAAAATCCCAAACAAACTGACACACCTAACAACATAGACAGTAACGAGAAACCAAATGACAAAATAATAAAGTCTCAACGGAGGAGGACAAAACATGAGAAAAATTAAATAAGCAAAGTAAAAGTCTTGAACTCTAGCACCTCGTGCAATCCCTGGCGGTGGTTCAGAAGGAGGCCGGACCTTCGTCGCTTGTTGGATTACCTCTCTCGTGATCGCCTCGGAGTCGGAATCAGAAGCCCCATCATCATCTATTCGTAGGAGATCACACACCTGCTCTTCCTCTCGGTCACAACCAACCTTGCGTCTGCCGTCTGAAGCATCCTCCATCGCCTTGCTACCGCAGATGTCCAAGCCGCACAAAAACGACGCCATAGCCGCGTCAATACCCACCGCCGCACGAAGACGACGAAGACTTTGTCGCCGAAATCCAAACCCTCAACTCTCGCTAGGGTAAAACTAAATTAACCTTATTAAAATTTAAAAAAGAACAATCATGACCCAAGTAGAGTACCGAAGCTCTGAAGAACACGAGCACTGAAGGTCACGAGTTCTTTTTCCAGTTTTCTTATTTGTAAGCCATCGATCAGAATTTTTTAAGCCATCGATTGAAAGGGATCCACTTATCCAATTTTGGGCGGAGCTGTCGATTCCAACGGCGAGGGAGTTATGCGACGGACCAAGGTCGGCTTTTAGGATAGCGACGACCTGCGCAACAGAGTTTACCGCAGCCTAACCCAAGCGGAAACACCTCAGTGGCAGCAGAGCTCCGGTGGACAACACTGTTTGTCTTCTTCAGGCCTCCAGATTCCACCGCTTTGAATGAATGCATTAATTAAAGCATAGAAGATCAACGATAGCTTAAAAGCAAAAAGGAAAACTTCCTCCACATGATCCCATGTTTTTGTATCATTGTTACAATGCAATTATTAATTACTAAAATTAATTGCACGGCGGCTAAAACTAGCTTCCTAAAAGACCAAAACTTGAAATACTATTGGATTTATGATGTTTTCTCAATCAAGCATATCAAAATTGTGGGTTTTCTAAACCTAACATTTACATATAAACAATAATAAACTTTTCAAAAAATAATAAACTTTTCTCATATGTCATTCGTCATCTTGATGAAAATGATGAGTTTAATTTGAGTGTTATTTGATTATCGTATAAAAACAATGATTTTAACTTAGTCTCATTATATTGTTATTATACCTCATTTTTTGACTTTATTGTGCAAATTGGAAAATTATGTCTTGGGCTTAATTAATATTTTTACATAGCTGTAACACATTCAAAAATAAGGTAAATAGTCAATCGAAATAAAAATAAAACCTGAAATAAAACTAAAGCAAACTCTAGTCACCCGTTCATTGCATGACGGCGACTCGGGAGGAGACTGAATCATCAACACTTCATCTTCTTCCTCCAAGAATAAAAGATCAAAAGCTAAAACAAATGATATTGTAGTCACCGGCTGTGATACCACAAGCGTTGCAAACACAAGGAAGACTGCTATGGAGAGCTTCGCTGGTAACTATTACACCTTAGGCATTGATCGAGATCCAAACCCAAGAAAAAAGTCACTCCATCCACATGATAAGGGAAAAGATGGCCGCACGCTTATGCAGCCGGAAAACTAATTAAATCCAACATAGGCAAGCAACTCTCCTAGGGAGACCGTCCACTTTAATTATTTTTGGCTAAAGGGTCAAATAGGCCCTTGAACTGACTTAAAGTGTTCAATTAGCCCCTTATATAGGAGGTTCTGCCCGGCCGTCGCCAAATGGGGCAGTTCCCCGTGGAAGTTTTTGATGAAATTTTTTGAGCATCTTCTTCATTAAGACTAGTTTACTCATACCAAATTTCAGCTAAAAAATCAACCGGGAAGGCAGTCAAATGATTTTTTGAAGATAACTGCGAAGTTAAACAGCGCAGTACATTTCGGAAAATCATTTGACTGCCTTCCCGGTTGAATTTTTAGCTGAAATTTGGTACGGGTAAACTAGACTTAATGAAGAAGATTATCAAAAAATTTCATCAAAAAAAAAACCACCGTAAACCGCCCCAATGAACAACGGCCGGGCAGAACTTCCTATATAAGGGGCTAATTGAACACTTTAAGTCAGTTCAAGGGCCTATTTGACCCTTTAGCCATTATTTTTTACTTAAGATGTTAACTTGGTTACTTTGGGTCTAAGTAAGGATTTTTTATCATTCCTATTTTAGAATTTAAAAACTTTTTACTCCTATTAAGCCAGTTCGTATACCATGCAACCGTCCCACGGTGCGCATGGTATACCTGGGAGAGTGAAGAAGCAGTTCGTATATTTTGGCTTTGTTATTTTTTATTTCTCCATTTTTAAAAAATGTTAATAATTTTTTTATTTTTGATCCGATTTTTATAAAATTTATATCAAAATTTTTTATTTTTCATGATCTTTCAAATGAGACCAATATTGCCTATGTAATTTTAACATATTAACATTTGCGTGTAAAAATATGTAACTTTACGTGTTAAAATATGTAACTCACGTTCAGTCAGGCCAAATGCAACCCGTGTGTATAAATATGTAACTCTACGTGTAAAAATATGTAACTTTACTTAAAAAATATGTAACTCGCGTTTAGATAGGTCAAATGCAAATCGTGTGTATAAATATGTAACTTGTGTGTATAAATATGTAACTTTACGTGTAAATATATGTAACTCGCGTTCAGGCAAGTCAAATGCAACTCGTGTGCATATATATGTAACTCGCGTGTAGAAATATGTAACTTTACGTGTAAAAATATGTAACTTCACATATAAAAATATGTAACTCACATGTATAAATATCTAATACAATAAATTTTTTATATACACAATTTTAAGATAAATTGTGATTTACACAATTATTTTTCTGTATTAAATTTAGTTTGGTTTTCCTTATAATCCAATACACATTAATATAATAGTTTGATAATTTCTTAAAATTACATAAGCAATATTGGTCTCATTTGAAAGATCATGAAAAATAAAAAATGTTGATATAAATTTTATAAAAATCGGATCAAAAATAAAAAAGTTATTACCATTTTTTAAAAACAAAAGGATAAAAATAAAGAAACCAGGCCTCATCAATACTCCGTCGTTTTGCAACCGGGCGCACCATCCTCATGGTGCGCCGGTTGCACGATATAATTTGCGTATTAAGCGGGTTTTCCTATTATGTTTACTTTTTTTTTTTTTTTTTTTTTTTTTGCTTTTTCTTACATGGGTATTGGGCCCTAAGACTTTCGGTATTGGGTTGGGTCAACTTGGTTTGGCAACAAGGATCTTCGGGCCAGAGAGGAGAATAGCTCCAAGGGACCAAGACCAAAAGCCCGACTAACCGGAGAGGAGTATCAAGCTTCAACCGGTGAAGATCTCCGATCAAGAGTCGAAGAGTTAGAAGGAGAAGAAGAGCACAGGAAATATGCTTCCCACCTCTTCATCGAAAGGGCGAACCAGCTCTCATGTTCGGCCCAATTCTGTTCTCCCCCAGTACCTCCGCAGAATTGTCAAGGTTCCCATTTCTCATCAGTTCATTTGTGTTGATTTTCTCATCAGTTCATTTGTGTTGATTATACGCAATGGAATCATCTTTTTCTCTCGTCATATATGTATATGCGGGTTTATGTTGCGATGCACCTGCGCTTTGTCAAACAACTTGCATTTATCGGATCTCCACTTTGTGTATCGACAATTCACATTTCTTGTTCACTGGTGGGGAAAAATCTTAAAATCCACACCGAACTGTTTATTAAGACTCAATATAGGTATCTTGATTTATAGATTATGATTGATAAACAACGACCAATGCTAGACTGTAATTATGACATCTAAATTTTAGCTACAACTTGATTAACTCACTTGCTAAAAACATCGAGATAAAGAACTTAAAGTGGTATAATTGTTGAATATTTGTAAAAGTGTTGAGATTCTGAGTAGAATGGCAGAGCAGAGGTCTTTACTCTTTAAGTAGTTAGTTAGTTATTCCTTCTAACCAGTAGGCTACTGGCAGTTGCTAAAAGATTAAACTGGATATTAAGTGTAGTGTAGAAATGTAGAATGGTTCAGAACTATTTTTTGAGTTGAAAATAGAAAATTAGAAGTCATGCAGAGTGGGTGAGTGGCTAGTTCACACACATCAAGTGGAGAAATGTTATGCTTTAATTTGACAAATTGATGTAGTAACACATAGTGCAAATGACATAATATAAACTCAACATGATACTGGTGAACAGAGCAATATCTCTTAGTCCCCGTAGCATATCTTTCAAACAAGAAACTTAGGTGAAAGTGTATATTGAGAAAAGATGTACAAAGCGCAGGTTATTGAATTGGTGCGATTGTTAATGTCAGTTTTCTGCTTTGGCCTTTGGGCGTTCCAGGGTTGACTTGAATATGCATTCTTGAGTTGGTGTGTGTG